TGTTACATCAAAATCTCCACAAATCTGAAAAGAAGCAACATAAAAATAAATTTTGCTTCCAGTCTGAAAAAGTACAAAACATTTTGTGAGTAGGTTCATACAGGTCATTTCTGGATAGATTCATACTATATATACAAAAAAAAAGAAACAATACTGCTTCATATTAAGCAGGATTTACACCAGTATCACATTTTTAACTTTACTTTTAACAATTTTGGTTTTATTAAAAGGAAATATCAGATTTTCTCAGGTGCCAAAACAAAATGTAGCAGCTCAGTAAAGGCTCACCAAAGAGCATAAAATAAAGTTGACATGACTATTAACAGCTGAATGCGACGATTTCCATGTTGCTCAGCAAAACACTTCACAAATGTATTAGATCCAATGCCTTTGTGCGTTTTGATTTGAGTACAACCAAACTCATCGTCTCTTTTCTGTCATAGTTGACCTCAAATATGTCTTTATGAGGCTGAGACATCAGGCCTAACTAACATCATAGTGAAGAGAATAAATGTTCTGCAACCTGATTTTTATCATCTTAAAATCAGCATTGCAGCTATGCTAGCAACATTGTGCTTTCATTATGATTTAATTTCTCGATAGATAGTTAATCAGTTTTACCTGTTTCATCCCGTGTCTCCTCTCCCCATCACCCCTGGCTCCCTCGCTTTGCCTCATTCGGTTTTAAAAACAAATCATTCTCAGTCGCTCTTGCGTCATGTCGTGCTGCATTCACTGCAGTCCGACATTGGAAATTAGCGGTCATAATTCTCAAATTATCCATAATTTATAAGCCTGGCCACCCCTACCACCAACTGGGGTGGCAGCAGGGGTGGCAAGGCTGTCATTTAGGGAGGCATTTGCCACCCTATGCCACCCCAGTAGATCCGCCTATGCACAGAAATATAACTCTTACTCACTTAAAATTGTACTTGACCTGAAAAGTTTATTTTTTGTAAAAACAAGAAAACATTTTTAAAAAGGCAGATGAGTTAACCAACCCTGTCTTTGAAACCAGGCTGGTATTTTTATGTCACAGTCTTCTTAAAATGGTTGACATTAAAAACATTTTTCATGCCTCTGAGCTTAAGTCAATGGTTGACCTTTGTGGCAGTGATATTCTCTCTTGTCTGGGCTTTAAAACGAATGAATGTACAGAATTACATTTTAAACATATAACATTGGTTTTTACACCTTAAGAGACACCTTCCTGAAATGAGCCAAATGCAGAAGTAAATCTGTGCTGCAGACGTCCATTTTCCTCCACTCACCCAAAGTTACTATTTGAAACCCCCTCCCCAGCTTTGTCTAGATGCTAACAACTAGCCCAGGCAACTCCATCATCCTATAAAGAAGGAAGGCAACATGTCCAAGGCTGAATCCGTTCTTCCTACGGATGTATCCTGTACGTTACCATCTTGTCAGGATGAAGTAGGACCAGCTGTTCTGTCCCTCTTGTCCTCTATCCAGATCCGCACGGACGGACCTCTCAACCTCGAAGGAGGGATCCACTTTTTTTCCAAGTTTATTACCACTTTGGATTAACAAGAGCCTACGGTTATCCAAGAGTTATGGTTCTGGCTTAAAGATGCAAGCACCACCACTTTGATGAAGGAGGAGGAAAAGATGACACCCTGAGGTCAAGCCAGGAACACACAGTCCAAAAATCAGGCCAAACTGAAAGGCAGTTTAGGATTAGAGTCCTATTAGTGGACACATCTGCTGCTTTGGGTCAGACAGATTCATCCCTTGAACACCTTGGATAAAACCTAAAGTTCTTAGAAAAAAGCATGTGGACTGAAGATGCACTCAGCAGCTTCTGGGGCGGGGGGGGGGGTTAAGATCTGCAGACACAGTAGGTGATTTGTACCAGAATACAAACGAAGCAAATCCATTTTTTCCCCCTGCCACATAAAGTGGTACAAACCCAAGCTTTCCCACAGACTGAACCTCTAGTTTCTCCAGTTTTCCTTTTCTTCCATGTGATACAGCAGCAGGAAAGAGAAACATGTCCATGATAACAAACCAGGGGTCTATTTCATTAAGCAGGTTTAACAAATTCAGATCGGTTTCACAATGGCTGCTATCAATTAGTTCAATCGATTTTAACTAGGTCCACTCAGAGTTAAATGCTGATAATGTGAAAAACCATTATCAGTGGAGCAACAAGTCACCATGACAACAGGCAACGGGAAATGCCTATTTCCCCCCCACTGGAACTAGAGATTTTGATGCAGAAATGCAAAGATATTAAAAAGGAGAATGTGTTTAAAAGACAGAGAAACATTGCTACAGCTCCAAAGGAGAGGAGGATGGCAAAGGAGAAGATTGTTGCTTGAGTTAATGCAGTGGGTTATGGCAGCCCGTAACAGACCAGACCAGACCAGGTTAGCTCTGGAAGAACGTTACTATGGCGACTGAATCAGAGGTTGAGGACACTCTCTATGTTAAACAGAAAAGTCAGTTTCCCTGTTCAGGTTTAGACTGCTTAGAGTTTTCTATAAACCTGCTTCATGAAATGGACACCAGACTACGGGACAGATGGAACAATAGGAGATGGTTGGATAATAATTTGCCATGCGGCAGAAACAGTTCTGGATCGTTTCATCTCTGTAACAGATTTGAAGGACAGTTAGCGGTAATAAAAAAAAGAAGAGAAAAATGAGGTCAGATTCCGAACTCTCTATTCCTGCCTGGCAACGGTAGGATAGATGTGGGTCACTGCCTTGGTCAAGCTGGAGGGTTGTCTTTCACCAGTGCCTGGTCTCGATCAGCTCTGACCGCAGGCTAAGCCTCTTCAGAGTCTCGTATCCAACCACGATGACCACAGAGGTGGGTGTGGAGGAAATGATGCGAGCCGACAGCCCTTTGGTAACCATCCAGACGCCCTCCTCCGCCAGCAGCTGCTTGAACGTCTCCACCACAGACGATCGGCCCTCCACCTTGGAGGAAGAGAGGATGTTTGATTAGAAGATAAACATAGTTCAGGTTTTTCTCTCAAAGAGAAACAAGGTTTAAAGCAGGTTAAAGGAAGCGCTTCCAGATTAAGGTTCTGTTATTTTTTTTAAATTAATTTTTGACATGAGTGAAAGCCTCTTATTTTGACATATAAGCATGAGGATACATTTCAGGTAACAAGGATAAACCTGTCTGGTGTGTTTGAGTTCATTGTCAACATAGAGGTAAGCAGATTGATTTATACAATCGTTCTCAGTGCAAAAATAAAAGAAAAATTATGAAAGCTGCAGTATAACATAATCTAGTGTGGATCATATGAAAGAAGAGAAAGGTTTTAGGTTCTGGCTGAATTATGATTTTTGATGTAATATTTCCTTAATTTCAGGGAGGGGTTTGGTTTTCTATCCAAGGATTATTTGTTGTACTAGTGGTTCCTAGAATTTCTAAAAATAGAATGGGAGGCAGATCTTTTAG